TCAGATCAGAACTTTGCGTGCCGTGAATGGCTCCGTGAATTGGCTGTCAAGCCAGAGTAGACATGATTTGAGTGTTCAAGCAGTTTGAGCCAGCAGTCATTTCCTACTCCGAAGATAGCTGACTTGAGAAAAGCCAGCCAAGCCGTCCGTAGAGCAAAGTTGGACAAAAGATTTGTGCATTCGATTTTGAACCGATTTGATCCGGACAAGCTGACAATCGCCTGTCACTCAGATGCTGCCTTTGCCAACGTAGGTGAGCACACCCAAACACGGTGCATAGCCGCCTTCACTGAGAAATCTCTGCAAAATGGGGCTGAAGCCAAATGGGTGCCTGCCACATGGCACAGTTATATACTTAGTAGAGCTGTTGGTAGTACGATGGCTGCAGAGTCCCAAGCCTTTTGCACGGCTACAGGAACAGTAGAATGGTTGTCTCTCATGCTATAGCAGAGGTCTTGGATGGTGACTTGATTCTTCGAGAATGCCGCGATGTGCTCAAAAGACGGCCACCGACCGCAACAGCCTGTACGATCATGTAGTTTCTCCCTCAGCTCCCACTTCCATAGAAGATCGTTGTACTGGCATTGGTGTTGTAATCAGCTGTAGGTGCATGTCAGCCTTCGTAAGATGGGTCCCCGCAAACCGTATGATAGCTGATGCCTTCACACAGGACGCAGGAGATCCCACTGACTTGTTGCGAGCATGTTTGCGTAGATCTTGTTACCAGATCAGTCCTGGGAGACAGTTTTGGAATACCAAGCCCAAGAAAAGGAAAGACGTTCAGCAAGAAGACTAGGTTCTGCCACTGCCGAAGTTCACCAACAGGGGTAGAAGTTTGTCACTCTCTGGCCTAGGTAGTGCAATCATAGGGGATTGTCGCTTGGACTGCATGGAGAGTCGATGCGCAAAACTCAAATTTCTTTTGTGTACATGAGACTTTTTCAAGGCGTTAGCCCTGCTTAGTTTTCGGACTGTTTTCCGTAGTGTCGCTGAGTCATTTCCGTGTCCAAAGGCGCTCCATCGTCCCCTTTCTCCAGCCACAAGGGAGTTGCTGGAGCAGGTTGTACGTGAGAGCTCCCTGGATGGTTTGCTTGCTGCCTTGGGCAGTAGCCACGCCGAATCAGACGAGACCGGCCTTCCTGATGGAGTTGCATCGATGGAAAAGAATTGGGCCAGACCCTGATCGTCTCCGGAAAGTATGCCAAGGATCATATGAGCTCTGCAGAGCTGGCTGTCGCCCGTCCAGACTCATGTGGCCTAAAGTGCACTTGGCTGATGACGCAGAAGGGCAGGTCCGATCTGACCGGACCTCCTGGATTACCTGGCCAAAGCCACCTCCGATGGCAGCTCGGGTCCATTTCCCGGCAGCACCACTGTCCGAAAGTTCAAAAAGTGAGTGCCTTTGTCGATCCGTCCAACCTGATTCGCATCCGAGCATCCGTTAGTAGAAGTCTATAGCGCTGTTAGCGCATGTCCCGGCAGGACTGACAATTTTAGATTTAGAAGATAAAATCAGTGTTTTCGACGCGTGACCAGCTGGGTCTTTGCTGCATGCCGTCAGTCGCAGGGAACTTCTCGGCACAGGTTCGGCACAGGTGAAAAGGAGGCGCCCGACTGTTTTCCCCAGGGAGGGAAAGGATCTCCGCTATATATATATATTATTATTAATGTATATATATATATATAATCCCCCTTGCAATTCGGGCTCCGACCCTGACCCCTGAATCTTTAAGGGACCACTGGTAGCCTCTTAAAGAATGCGAACCAGGGCAAATTTCAGCCTTAAAGAATCTAACCCCAATGAACCAAGATTGCAACGCAGTAGCCAGGTATGTCCCTTTAAAGGATTGGAGACCCAAGTTGCACACCAAGGGGTACCCCTTTAAAGAATTGGATACCCAAGTTGCAGTCGAATGGACGACGGCGCAGTCAAGCATCATCAATAAGATGCGCATGCAATCATATGAGAACATATAGACTTATTTATTTGTGTCTATATTAGGATTATTATAATTCATTCGGCATTTTTAGATGAATTTTGAAAGCACATCTTTAACATTCTTCAACTCTGGAAGGTGTTTTAACAGATTTTAACACAAATTCTTGCATTTACAATTCTCCTTGGAATTATCCTGCTCACATGGACTCCAGCATTCTTTAGACAAAAAACGGAGGTCCACCTTGTACTACTGAAATGGCACATCTAAAGAATGCCTACCTAGGATGCAAGGGGTCTAAGACCATCTAAGAACTCATGGCCCAGGCAACCAACTACAACAAATACAAAAAAACACAAAAAAAACAAATACAAAAGTAAACCTCTAAGAAATAGGGCGTCCATGTTAGCCATGTGGACATCAACAAACATAAAAAACACCAAACGTACCCAAATGATTCCTTTGCACACCGGAGATGAAATTTGCCCTTCTTTTGCCCATGCCAGATTAGCGGCTTCTGTTTTCGTCATGGCAGAAGCTTCTGCCAAAGCGTTGTCTTTGGCTGCCTCCTCTTGTTTCATTTTTCTGGTTTGATCAAAATTGATTGTAAATAACATATCCCCCTTTGTATTCAGTCTTTGACCCGGGTGTCCGGTTCTTTGGTGGAGGGTGCCATTAAAGAATGATAAAGAATGAAGTCCTGTCTCCGGACACAATGAGTTTTGATGGATCTTCTAAAGACAACCGGTGTTATGCCTGGGGATCTTGGGGATTTCCTGCGGACGTCTGGATATGAGACGTGGGCTGGGTTCGAGCTGGTGTTTTGATTCTTTAGAGGCTCAGGCCTGTCGACCCTACAACTTGGGATATTTTGGGGAGGGTGCCACAAAAAAGAATCAGGTCCTGCCACCCGACACAGGGAAGGATGTCCTTAAAGAATCAGGTCCTGCCAAAACACTGTTTTTTTCTGAGCTGGTGTTTTGATTCTTTGGAGGTTCAGGGCGTGTCGACCCTGCAAAACCTGGCAGTTTTTCACAGTTTGGGGTATTTTTTGGGAGGGTGCCATTAAAAAATAAGGTCCTACCTCCGGACACAGTGGGTTTCGATGGATCTTCTAGAGACAATTGGTGTTATGCCTCGGGATCTTGGGGATTTCCTGGGGACGTCTGGATATGAGACCTGGACCGGGTTCAAGCTGGTGTTTTGATTCTTTAGAGGCTCAGGCCTGTCGACCCTACAACTTGGGATATTTTGAGGGGGGTGCCACTAAAGAATCAGGTCCTGCCTTCCGACACAGGAAAGGGTGTCCTTAAAGAATCAGGTCCTGCCAAAACACTATTTTTTTTAACTGGTAGTTTGATTCTTTAGAGGCTCAGGGCGTGTCGACCCTGCAGAACCCGGCAATTTTTTACAGTTTAGGGTATTTTTTTGGGAGGGTGCAATTAAAAAATAAGGTCATACCTCCGGACACAGTGGGTTTCGATGGATCTTCTAGAGACAATTGGTGTTATGCCTGGGGATCTTGGGGATTTCCTAGGGACGTCTGGATATGAGACCTGGACTGGGTTCGAGCTGGTGTTTTGATTCTTTAAGGGCTCAGGCCTGTCGACCCTACAACTTGGGATATTTTGGGGAGGATGCCACTAAAGAATCACGTCCTGCCTCCCGACACAGGGAAGGGTGTCCTTAAAGAATCAGGTCCTGCCAAAACACTGTTTTTTTCTGAGCTGGTGTTTTGATTCTTTGGAGGTTCAGGGCGTGTCGACCCTGCAAAACCTGGCAGTTTTTCACAATTTGGGGTATTTTTTGGGAGGGTGCCATTAAAAAATAAGGTCCTACCTCCGGACACAGTGGGTTTCGATGGATCTTCTAGAGACAATTGGTGTTATGCCTGGGGATCTTGGGGATTGAGAACTGGACTGGGTTCGACCTGGTGTCTGATTCTTTAGAGCTACACCCTGCAAAACGATAAACATATTTATTTGTTTAAATCAATATATGCAATTTGCTGCTTTTATCATATCTAGTTTCAATTTGATTGTGTTTATTGAGCCATGTTTTGGCCAGCACTTTAAACATTGACAAATTCAACTTAGGGTTCCAAATTAAATCTCTAAAGAATCAAGGGGCAACTGATAACCCGGGTTAACTTATGTTTTAGCCAGGGAAAATTCCAAAAGGGATAACACCATATGATTTTCAAACGCTCTGTTTTCAAACGCTCATAAATGTGCAATAGTCCGGCGTCCCTGAAGAATGTCCTTGTTGAAAAATCAGTTGAAATGTGTTGTCAATGTTGAAACTTGTTTGGCTCATCTGTGATACAAACGATGGCCGGCGCACAACAGCAGTTTTAGCAAATCGAAAAAAATCCAAGAGCTTGTCTATTGCCCCTCAAAATGCTCTCTCTAAAAAATCATGACCTAGGAAACCTTTGCAAAAAATGGGGACTCCGGGTTACCCATGTGGAAAAATCATCTGTTTTTGCAATAAAAAAAAAGTTTTTTGCGACAACCCGGGTTGTTGTATTTTTAAAGTGGAAATTCCAAGGGGGATCATTTACATACAATTTCTCATCACGTTTTCATCTTCCATCTCACCTTCACGTCTTCTGCTTGTGAGCATCTGTTCAAGCGGCAGGTAAGCTGGTTTTCATTTGACATACAATCCCAAAAACATTGATGATCATACCAAAAAAATGGAAAAAAACAAGTTCCTAGAATCTTCCTAGGAAGGCCTCTTAAAATTTTAAAGAATAGGAGACCGTTAAACAACAGGATTTCCTTAAAAAATAGAAATTGTTTTTTTTTTGCCGGCCAGGTATGTCCCTTAAAAAATACAGTTTTTTGAAGACATCATGTCCTGAACTCTTTAGGCTAAATTCCCAGGAGGATTAAATATATATATATATATTTATACTGTAACCGTACATACAATCCAAAGAGTCCACTGATAAACAAACATGAAATGAAATATATTTAAATATTGACCGCTTGAACCGTGGTTTGAAAGGAGGCGACGGAAGGCTGATATGGGACGCCAATGTCTCTCTCATTGCCCCTC